AACCTTAATCACACTCCTTTTAGGACAAAAGTATATACATACTACATGGTTTTGATAAAGTATATGCCTCTTCCTCTGTGTAGTATGCCCCAAATTTCCATTCTTCATGTATATTGCAGCTTAAATAATATTTAGGTTCTCTCAAAAGTTATGTACTCCACATACTTCTCTCTACTACTCCCTCCGTTCCGAATTACTTGTCTTAGATTTGTCTAGATACGGAGGTATCTAGCACTAAAATGAGTCTAGATACATTCGTATCTAGACAAATTCAAGACAAGTAATTTGGAACAGAGGGAGTAGGTTGGAAATCTGTTGTGCATAGCAGGAGAACGAAATGTCTTTTTAATTAATTTTCCTTCAAAAACATATGATATAGTTAGGAATATGTTAGAATATTCCAATAACATAGAAGATGTGTACCCCTGCCTTTTCCCTAAACAAATCACATGCTCTATTTGAGTTGGAAACATCTGTATATTCTTTTCTTCAAGTAGAGCCAGGAATACATTTTTGATCAATATATTTTTTATTAGTACTAAAACTGAGTTTTGAAGAAGAAGATGGGGAGCTATTAGCTTATATCTGATGATGCAAAGTCCAATTGGTGGCTGGCCCTTCTGTGTCTTATTAGTCGTTGGATGTTAGTTCTTAATTTTCCCCCCTTGAACTAATGATTCATGAAATGGACGATGTAGACAATATCATGACTGGTTGGGCGAGGACACAGCCTAGCAACACTAAGGAGAGACTGCCTGCTTCTGCGCTAAGTCGCTGCTGGTCAAGACCTCCGGGCATGGATCAAGCATAATCCATGGTTGATTCTGGTGGTAAAGTTGTGCTCTTCACATCGTTGTTTATCAAGTTGGATACCTCCTCCTACCGTTTTTTCTGTCCATCGCTTCCCCGCATGATTTTTCTGGTTTTCTACTTCTCTTGGTTGACCATCTCCCCACGTCTTTCCTCCCCCGGGTTTTCTTATTCAATTTTCTTCCCTACCGAACCGGTCTGCCTTACACCCCATGAACGATCGTGCCCAGGCCATCTATCCCATCGCCACGATTGACGCATGCCACCGCCGCCGCAACAACCACCCCTCCGATCTGAAGTGCAGTGCCTCCCTTGTTGCCGCTGCCTCGACGTTCTGCACTTCCTACACCGCCGCAGGTCATTGCCTGCAGTTCGCCGTCTACTTTTCCCACGAACGCCGGCGATGGGAAGGAGGAGGAGGTGGGTGAGGAGACGAGGGCAAGCGCAAGAGTTGCATCGTTTAAGGAACGTGGTACAGGTCAAGAGCCGCTAACATCGGCGTGGGCGTCGGCCGTAGGTAAGCACTCTTTCCTCTCGCCTATCTCATCTCCCTCTCTTGCAGTGACCTTCCTTGTCTCCTCTCTGTCCGCGTCGTGGCAGTAGGGCGCGTGCTGGCCGCCTACGAGTTTAGTAGGGGCTCACGGGATGGGTAAGGGCAGGCTTGGCAAGGGCTGTTCATCAGTTCATGTGTCGCCGAACATACTGCAAGCGTGTGTGTCAGGCCAGACTTGGAACAGGCAATGGTGCTTAGGCGAATGTTGGAAGTGTGGCCGTAGGTACTTCATAAGTAGCAGGTAGAGATGCACACAGGCAACGGTGGGTAAGGGCGCCAATGTTCAGGCAGAGGAGAATATGAAAGATGAAGCCACTGGGCCACATCAGGCATGTATAGCCGATCCATGGCCATGCATATTTATGTCGGAATGGTTCGGCTTGAGCAATTTGGTACAGTATATTTGGAGGGGTTCTTGCCTTATCTGGATCTTTTGTTTGAGACGACTGATTTTGGTTGTTCTCGGCCTTATAGGTCTACGATTTTTTTAGTTTCAGTGACGAGTTAAAGCGACAGCGAGGCATGCTGGTACTATAAGCTTTATACCTCTCTTTGTAGACAAGAGCTGACAACTGATCAACAAACTGAAGGGAAGACTTTAAAACAGAAGGTACGTGTCTGTATATTTTCTACATATATTGTGTAAATAATGAAGTTACAAAATATTAAATATTCTATAGTAACTTCCAGTTTTTCTGCCCAATTGTGATCTTGTGGTAAGTTATATTCTGTTTTAATACATTATCACATGTTACCCTTAGTTAGTTCTAACATTGTGATAGCTTCTTTACCCCATTTTTTATTTTCCAAAAGAGTGAAAAGCTAGATCCACACTTGTTAGAGCGACACATAAGTTCACTTGATAGATAACTCCGGCATGTATTCTTTCCGGGAATTCAGTCAAATTCTATGAATTATTTCAGATATGTTTGATAATTACCACTAGCTGTTTTTTGTGTCTATAGGCACGCATATATTCCTCTTGTCTTCATCTTTGATGGATGCCTATAGCATGATGCTTTTAGTTTTTACTATCCTCAGTTTTTGGAGCATCCTGTAACTTCATTTATTTCTTCGTAGGGTGGAGGGAGCCTATATGATTTTACATGCATCTTGATATGGTATCATGTATACATGAGATTCGTCAGTTTTCATATGTACAATTACCTTGTCTACTCTGTAAGCTCCCTTTCCATTGCACCCTTATGTTCCAATTTAGCATGCAATGCATCTCTCCTTATATTTAGTTTTCATAAGAGTTTATTATATAGTTTAGCCTATCAGTGAATGTGTTTACTTTATGCATTGGTCTGTGCAGATGAGATAAGGGTTACTTCCTAGGCATGTAATTGGCTTGGTCATTTAAGATTGTAAGAGAAGATTTTAAAGCTATGCTTCCAATACTAAAAATATTCATCGTGTCCATGTGTGAGTATAGCAAGAACAATATGTGTGTTTTCTCAAAGCCACGGTGGTGGTAGCAGCCACATAAATAAAATGGAATAGAGTAAACAAATCCTTCTCTCTATACGTTTTATTTCTATAGGAGCCTCGTGAGCTCACAACAGTGGAGGGGAGGAGATGCAAAAGGAGGATGTTGAGGAGCGAGGCAAATTAAAAACAAAGGACAGAGAATCCCTCTTCATTTGGTGGATCCTATGGGTGTGTTCTAGCCATGTCGGCTAGAATGTGGATGGAGCACTCATTGTACTAGCATGAATCAGGTAATTTTCATATCACCATCATATCATTATACTACATATTTCCAGTATATTGCTGCATTAAGGCGTTACTAAATCTTTGCCAAACGACATTGGAAAAAAACTTGAAGTTTGAGAAATAAGATCTACATGTAGTGATAATAGGATGGGGATATTTAGAATGTGATGAAAAACTGCTACAGAGAGATGTGGGGTGAAGCGGCGAAGATGAGAGGTTCAGAGACAATATGATGTGCGGACGGGAATGACATTGCATTATTTAAGCTGACATGAGCATGCACTTCTAAAAATAAGTTGTTTGATTATATATTTTATTGCTCCGTGGCAACGCACGGGCATGCAGCTAGTTATAGATAAAGTTAGAGGGACCGTGGTGGGCATGGAATCCTCTTCGGTGTAGTGGTCAGCGCGTACTTCCTCAAATAGCTGGTCGTAGGTTCTACTCTACTTGAGCAGAATTTTCTATTTTCATTTTTTCTTCTGGACTGACAGGCAGAACCCAATAGTCATAGATACAAATATAGCATTCAAATAATCATATTTCATCGTTACAAGCATGGACCCGAAAATACGATGCCATGTCTTGTTTGTAATTTTACTTCTTGGCCGTTGTTCCTTTGTGCAAAGGCTAGCGTTTTATTATTTGTTCAGTTTTATCAGGTCGGTGTGTATGTGGCTTGTACTATGATCTTTTTAATATAAATGAGACACGTATTATCATGCAAAAAAAGAGATGTGTCTAGCATCATATTTGCACGCGCTAGACAAGTTTTAGAACCAGTTCAACACATTTTTCAAGTTCACGCATTAAAATGAACATCTATGGTAAGTTCAGGCATCACAGGTATAATTACCTCAACTCTGAATGTATCAGAGACAGAAAACAAGTTGGTGCTTGCATGTGCTCTGAAGTCTGAATTACTTCAGGCCAGTCACAAGAGGCGGGATAGATACATCCATCTGAAATGCATGAGCGGGCCATTGGCCGGTCACTGCAAACATTTGCTGAGCTCGGCAGGTTCAGGGATCCCATTCCCGGAGGAATCCAGGCTGTATCAGTTGGTTGAAACGGAGTAATCATCTTTCGTTAAGCGTCAATAAAGCCTGCTAATCAGTGGCCCGTAAAGCGTCACCAATCGGACCTGGACAGCCCTAAAGGATATGATCACGCACACAGTACCACGGCGATGCATCAACATACCTTCTCGAGCTCAAGCAACAGCTTGTTGATAACAATCAACATCCGTGCAGAGGAAACGAAAAAAAAAGGAAGAAGCTTGCTGATGAAATGAGTCAGGAGGTTCCTCGGTTGGCAGGGAAAGGACCGGTGGTTCCAAACGGGGGAAATTTTCACTCGCAAGCCATTGAGAAAACCATGGCTGGAAATTAAAGCGCACCGAGGAAAGAATTGAAGAAGAGGAGGTCCACGGGGATGGCTCGTCGCAGCACGTAGTCGCAGTAGCCGAGAAGGAACAAGCGCACCGAGGTGAAGGATTGGCAGGCATTGTGGAAAAGTTCAGTGGGATCAATCCGATATCCCCATGGTTAGAACAAGGCTCCCTGGGGGTCGTGGGGGAGGAACGGAGACGCTCTCTTGGGTCGTTTGCTTGCGGTGGAATTTTCACTCACTCGTAGAAAAGGGATGGCTTCGGCACTTGCCCTGTGTGCGGGCTGTGGTGGGTTAGGAACTTTGGGATCCAAGTCGATGGTGATGAGATGCTCAGGGTTGTCCAGGCAAATGACAGTAGCTCCATTACAACTGAGTTCAGATGCAACATTGTATCTAATGGACCAACACGAGATTACACTCTTATGTCACCAAGCTGATCTACCCAGCTTCCATAACAAGAACTCTTCAAGTTGGATAGATTAATCAATCACAGTTTAGCAAACATGTGAGAAGATCAGGAACACCATTACATCAGATAATGTGCGCGGCCATAATATCTGTTGATGTACCTCGACTGCACACAATAGTAAATAACCAAGTTAAATCTAGTGTTGCAGGTTCAGATACATTCAATTAATGGGCACTCAGGAACAACTTCATACCTTCATATTGTTAACATCAGGTGTATCCGGGGTTTTCACGGGATATAATTTGTAAAGTTCCATGTTTTCAAATGCCTCTCTTTGCTTAGGGTCCATATCTTCAATAGCTTTCTTCCTGGCTTCTTCAGCCTGAACAAGTTTTGGGGAATATTGAATATTGTAAAGCGTCAAATCTCTTGGAAAATAATTAAATATTTCAGTTAAATGGACCTGTTCCAGTTCTATTTTCCCTTGTTTAACCTTCTCCTTTAGAAATTCCTGTCAATCAGCAAAGTTAGGAAGGGAGTTACTGCTGTAAAACAATGCTAACCTTAGAGTGTATAATTGATCAAGAAGAGTTTAGTGACCTCAATTTTTTCCCTCTCATCCTCTGGCAACCCCTCATCTTCGACTAGCTTATGAGCTAAAACCTGCATTGCAACATGATATGATTCAACATGGATGTCCTTTCATAGGTAGCATTGTACATCAGAGTAGAACAACTGAAATTCCTTACAAACCTTGTAATCATCCAATTCCAAGTGAAAATCACAAACTATCTGCAACAAGCAGCACAAGGTAAACATCAATGTATGAACAATTTACAGCTACTTGAAACCAGACCTGGAGACTTAATTAGGATGCACGAGTGCACTTCTGCGAATAGTGTTTGAAATAGAAATACAATAACTACAAAGTGGAAAGCAGGCTAAGAAGATTTTATTGTTGTTTTATTATCAACAGAAGGAAACCTCAAACAACCCACCCATCCACTTGGGTTTTGAACCATCAAATTGCCACGGGAACAACTTAGGTCAAGCATCCAACATACTACAAAACAGGTGATAACATTTAAGACAAAACGGAAGCAATGCGCATGATCAGATACCAGCAATGGAAGATGAGGAGGGGTCCCCACAGCACGAGATTGCCTTATGTAGCAACAGCAATGGCAGCAAGTCACCAGTACCGGACAAAAACATGACCTCATCGACTGATGATCACGTCACAGACTAAAGCAGACTAGATCACAGCAATTATACGCTTAAAGGAAGCTTACCGGGGATTCTAGAGGATATATGACGCGGACAACTGTGCCACCTTCATCTTCAGGAGGATTTAGTGGTATGTCTGCAAGATATTAAACAAGGTTCATATGCCGATGAGATTACCCTATAGAGAATGATATCATTAAAACAACTAGTGCCATATAAATTTAAATCAAGTGAGCAACTGGTAGAACAACTTTAGGATATGGGCGTGTATCTGAGAGTGGACTGTGCCAAACAGGATTCAGTGAGTGTTGGGTCATTTTGAGTACTTAGCAATCTTTTCGTGCTTATGATGTCTTAGAATGTGATTGACAATTCCATCCTGGCAGTTCTTAGGCACTAGGCGCAACCCTGCCACATAGCATTACCTGCTGCCTAGGTTTCTGCTTTGCTAGACAGTAACAGGTACTAGGCACCACTTCGCTGCCTACTGAGTACTTTCTGAAAATAGCATGACCTGAAAATCTGCACGCTCTAGAGATGCTAACTGTCAAGGTGCGAACAGCACTAAAGGCCAAGCAAATATGCACCAAAGTGCAAAAAATGAAAAGAAGAAATTTATCCCCTCAGAAGAAAAAGGAGAATAAAAGAGATTTGCTTATGACAGGATATTATGTGCCATCAAATTACTAGAAAGCAACCAGGATATAATTCAAACTGGTGTTACTAAATATGATGCCATTATGATTTTGTAAAACGGAATACCAGTCAACAAAAAAAAACAAGTTTAAAAGCCATTGCGTGTGTTCGCAGGCATGTTTCTTAAACTGCCACTTCAATGAATTAACAATTTGATTAGGGAAAAGGGCATCATTCCAAGACGAAGAATTGCATTGCAACCATTCAACTAATGGTGGCTGCAGTTCTGCAGAATCATGCACACTTTTGGATGGTTGGGTTTACATGATCTTGGCATGACACGTGCCAAAGATAGGTACAACAGTGGAACCTCTAATGGTAAGGGGTATACAAAGGATCATAAAGAAAAAAGGGTTAAAAAGTTAGATATTACTAGAGAAGCATAATACAGGCCTAAAAAAATAAACCCAATTCAGCTTACAGGGCGTGTAGTAGTAGAACTTGTTGGCTCTCTCAGTTTCCATTCGGTTCAGCGCAGACCTGTAAATGTATAAACCTGGGATTTAATAATCTTAACTAGTGGTAATGGAAATATAGCACATCATAGAATGAGAATGAAAATGCCTGGCAACAGAAATAAATATGTACCTAAAGCATGAAATTCTGAAAGCATAAATTCATAAAACTCACCTCCGCTGGGTGCAACAGAGAGTGAAGATTTTTGTTTTCAAACTTTCAATCCTGCCAAACCTGTAGGCAAAGCAATAGCAAGGTGAGTAAAATAAGTTACAAAGTAGAGGGAAAAAGCAGGGATATAAACAATGAAAACAAAAGGCAACAAATATTGCTCGATATAAGTAACGCAACAGTACCGGTCCTGAAGAGGAACATAAGGCACCCATGACATCTTCATCTCTTCCATTGGTACTATTTCTTCTTTTCCCGTTCGAACAAAATTTATGGCAATCTTATCCGATGGAGGAAAAGGACAGTCAACCTGTAAAATTGAACATGTCAACTGCTAAACAAGACAGACCATCCAGATCATATGTTATGGCGCTGCTAGAAGGAGGGCGCGAGAGGGCCGGCCGGGGGCCTTTCTGCCCACGGCCGGGCAAGAGGGAAGGGATTTCCTTCTTAATTCTTGCTTGATTAGATTGATACATCTCCTCTCTTTATATAGAGAGGTTTACTTGACTCCCAAGCAAGGCTTACTTGACCCCTAAGCAAGCGACTCTTATCTCTAATTAACCCTAAGACTAACGGGCCCATTAGGCCCATTACGTACTCTAACACTACACCCCACCTGGACATGCAGTTTGTCCTCAAGCTGCAGCCTAACCAACTTATAACCATGACGCGACGCAACACAAACCTAACACCTAAAAACAAGCCTTTTACATCTCGGCTTGTTTTATTATGCTCAACCTGAAATGGACTGGGACACTTTATTTTGGACCCCTTAACAAAAAGTGGACACCATCCGCACGTCGGACGTGCACGTGTACAGCCACCTGGATCCCATGGAAACCATCTAGACAAAAGAAGTGCATGTGTAGGACCACCTGGAAGTGGTCGCAAGAGTGACCAGCAGAGGCGCTCTCGCGGCGGCCGGTGACGGAATGCAGTGGTGCTACGTGGTGCGCTGCTGTCGGTGACACCATGGCTTCTTCCTGCCGGACGGCTGTTGGTCTGCACCGCACAGGGAAGAGTGGAGGGCTTGCGATGGAGAATGACGAGGAGGGGTGCGCCCCCCCAACCGCCGATGTCGCAGACTTTGAGGTCGCTGCCCGCGGGGAAAACATCATGCCCGCTGCCCGTGGGGGAAACCGCATGCCCAAGATCCCCGGCGCAGCGGATGAGATCGAGGTCCTTTGCGCAGCGAAGGGCAACTTGGAGGAGCGGCAGCTGCAGACCACGCATCTCCCGCACACGCCGACGCGCTAGGAGGCCGCGTGCAGTAGCCTGCAGCCTCACCGCCGCCGACACGTGGCGGGTAGCGATCCAAGACGGAAGCGGTGACGACGACGGCGGGGACTGGACTTGGTGGAGCGGGACTCCCGCCGGCGCTGTCGATGCGGGGCCGGAGCTGACCGGCGGTGGCTGTTGCAGCTGCAGCGGCGGTGGCGCATCGGGCAGCGGCAGCGGCTGTTGCGGCGGAGCGCCGGGCGAGGCCGCCAGGAGCGGCGGCTGCCACTGCAGCCAGGGCTGGGCGGTGGTGGCGATGGATGGAAGCTGCAGTGGCTGCTGCAGTGGTCCGGCGAGCGCGGCGAAGGCTGCCTGGTGCGGCGATGGGCGCTGGAGGCGCGGCGGGAGCCGGCGCCGACCACTGCGGCCACTGCGGGGCGGCGGCGGGCGACAGCTGCAGCTGGGGCAGCAGCGTCCCAGCGAATGCCGCGGAGGCCCCTGGATGCGGCAAGTACCACAACAGGGCCGGCGGCTCGGCAGTGGCGGACAGCGGCAGGGGCAGCGGCGGCCCGTAGGGGCTGACCAGGTACAGCCGGATCCCCTGGATGGCTGTGACAAGGTCGTTGAGGACCCCGGTGATCTCCTCCGGGGTGTAGACGGCGGACGAAGGTGCGGTGGAGGGCGCCGGCATCTGGGCGGTGGCGGCGCCGGAGGATGCAACCAGCGACGTGGACGGGGAGGGCAGCGGCACGGTGTAGATGGCCAGCGGCGCGGTGGTGACGGTCGGCAGCGGAAGCGACGGGGTGGGCGGCGACGAAGACATGATCGGAACTGAGCTACCTGATACCAAATTGTTATGGCGCTGCTAGAAGGAGGGCGCGGGAGGGCCGGCCGGGGGCCTTTCTGCCCACGGCCGGGCAAGAGGGAAGGGATTTCCTTCGTAATTCTTGCTTGATTAGATTGATACATCTCCTCTCTTTATATAGAGAGGTTTACTTGACTCCCAAGCAAGGCTTACTTGACCCCTAAGCAAGCAACTCTTATCTCTAATTAACCCTAAGACTAACGGGCCCATTAGGCCCATTACGTACTCTAACATCATAGGCCTTAAACAAGTATTTGATCAAATTAACAAATATGACAAAATATTTGATACTGCATGTTTGGGTAAAAAACATGAAGAGCAAGACAAGGTCACCAGCCAAATAATTTTTGACAAGTTAACAGGAAATCTTAGAGAGAGAAAACAGGATCATAACAGAACAACAGCAATAGAAGGAAATAAATGCTCCTGCCAAGATAATTCTCTTGGTAACATCAACTGATAAAATAAATGAAGTTTCTTACTCCTTTTATTTTCAAAAGCTTGTAGCAACTTCCTAAACTTAAAAGCTGATGCATAAATTTTCATCTTGTGCAATTCATAATTCTACATGAAAATCATAAACAATAATATACTAAAGATGGTATGTTTTTAAGTAATGCAAAAGGTATAAACAGAACTGCTGATTTGTTTATCTGATGTAGACATGAGCTAAAGGTTCAGCTCAATATGTACAACTGCAAGACCATTCTCCGCTGTACATTTTTTTCCTACTAACATGTTTTGCTTTGAAACACAAAATGTAAACATAATGGTGTTATAGATGCTGGGCCAAGAGAGTGGATAAGAACTTACAGCAAGTACAACAGGAACAACTACAATCTTCAATTCACCATTAACATCCAATTGTTGTGCTGCACGCCAAGAGGAGCCAATTTGACTTGTATGGAATAATATTCAACAGGTGTAAAACTAGAATGGAAATAAGAAGATGGCAGATACTAAATCCACTTTACATACAATATATAAAGTGATACACAAATACAATTGTTGAATCTCACTAAACCAGACTAATAGCACTTAAAACAAACATCGGTAAATTTATGGCCAGATAACCCTACTTTGCTACAGATTACGAAATATTACCAACATTATAAAACATGTATCAAGGATCAACGGTAGCAAAATTAACTTTAGAAACAGATTACTGAAATATTATCAACATTATAAAACATGTATCAAGGATCAACGGTAGCAAAATCAACTTCAGAAATAGCTTAGTGCCAAGTATACTTAGTTACTTACGCTCGGTGCTTCCAAACAAGTAAACCGTCTTCCCATATAGTTCCCCCCTTCCTCTAGTGTTTTCTGCTCATCAACAACAACCACATATCACTGTATGCTGAAGTTAAACATTCAAAAGGGGGGTAAATCTTACAAGATTAAGTTTGACTATCATACCTCTAAATTTTCGAAGTTCCAATTGAATTCCTTTATCATATCAGTGTTTTCCCACTGCAGATGACAAGCCAAGTTCTATAAGTTTTTCAAGGCAAGGAAATGCGTACAGCTTAAGCTATATAATATGTCCAAGTGCGCACGACTAACATACACAATACGAAAAAATGGAATGGGAACAAACCTCAGTCCCAACAGGAAAAGCAGACCACCACAGATCCTCCTGAACAGAGTGGCAAACCATTAGTCAAAACACACATTAATCAAAATAGCAAGGCCATCACACAAGATCACAATTCTAATCATAATGGCACCTTCCGAAAACAGTCATAATGGTTGCTTCCAAAAGGAAGAAACCGCTGTCATAAAAAGAAGAAGAAAAACCCTGCAAATAGAACATGGCACCTGTTGTGCAATAATGAATATGTTCTGAGTCAGCATGCCAGAAACATGTTGCTGGCTCATCATCTTCCAATACTACCATAAACCTAGTGCTAATCTGGCATGCTCCTCGACTGACATAGCAATTGCTAGCACCAGACTTGGAAAAAGGTTGACCAGCAGAACGCACACGGCTTAAATTTTTTTCATCAGTCACGAATTCTCTAATACCACGGGGTAGAGCATTCCAGTTTCCTATTTACATGAGAACAAACTAATAGTCAAACCAAGTGCGCATTTGAGCATCACTAGCAGAAG